AGATGCAGAAATTGATTGACACGTTTTATGAATGGTGTGCTTGCAACTTGCTCAATATCAGCGTACCGAAGTGCTCTGTAATCAGTTTCAGCCGAAAGAAGAGCACTATAGAATATCTTTATTCCATAAATTGCCAGCAAGTTCAGCGTGTGGCAGTTGTGAAGGATCTTGGAGTTCTGTTGGACACAGGACTCTCATTCCATAACCACTACAATAGTATTATTGCTAATGCGAACAAATACCTTGGTTTCATCATGAGAGTTGGAAAGGAGTTTCGTGACCCGTATTGTTTGAGATCTCTTTATTATTTTATTATGCGCTTGTACGCTCCATCCTGGAGACGGCGGCGGTAGTTTAGAGCCCCTACACCGACATCTGGTCAGCACGGATTGAATCTATACAGAGGAAGTTCATTAGGTTTGCGCTTCGAACTCTTCCCTGGATAGATCCGGTGGTACTTCCCCCATACGAAAACCGATGCAAGCTTTTAGGATTGGACACACTGGCTAAAAGGATAGATGACATGCGTGCTGTATTTGTTGGAAAATTACTTTGCGGAATAATTGATTCCCTTAACATTTTGGCTAAGTTGAATTTGAACGTGACCTCGAGAGTTCTTCGTTCCACGAACTTCCTCCGTCTTCCTTTGCACCGGAAAGTTTACGGTCAAAACGAACCAATATGTGCTATGTGTAACATTTTTAACTCTGTTTTCCACTTGTTTGACTTTAACGTTAGCTGTGAAACATTTAAATATCGTTTACGTAATCGCAATTTAGTATAGTTGTTTAAGTTTTTGTACGTTTAAATCATGTAGACCATGTTTGTCAGATGATTGTAGATAATAAATTAATAAATAAGGTTAAATAAGGAAACAAACCGTGAACTTTTTTATTAAATTTTATAATCGCGTATCTAGATGGTACATAGACGAAAATCAGGTTGAGCGTTGTGAGATGTCCATCATTCATAGTTGATCGAAAAACCATTGAAATGCATTGTTAAGATGGTTGGAAGTGCGTAGTACTAGTCTCAACTGATGAAAAAAACTCAGTATTTGCAGTTTTTAGAGTACTTCTTTAGCTTAGCGAGCTGAATCTTGTACAATGCTTACTCCTTCTCGAGGAACTTCTACATGTCACCGTTTTCTATTCTGGCTTTCATAGCTCTCCATTGCTGTCATTTGTTACGCACAAAGGTATGCATTCCCTTTACCCGTTAGTATGTAATCTATGTAATCCTAAAGCACGGCAAAATAGTTTTTACAAATACATTCTTGAGAGAAATCATGCACCATAATCATCATGATCTGTACGCACTATTGTGAAATTTGGCTGACAAACATAACATCACGTCACATTAGGGAACTTCTTAGATGTCAAGAGACATTCAATTGATTTCCGAGAACTTCATATAAGTTCGTGGAACTTCGTAAAACTGCAGGGACCATCATAGATCTTAAGGATACTTCGTAGAATGATAAACAATGGACGATGGACGATGATTACGGAACATCGCATGAATTATTTGAAAGTTCAGCAACCTGGGCAGAAATTAAGTTGTACCTATCGAAAAATTAAAAGTGTAAGCTATGGAAAAATCTTTGAAGTACTGGGAACTTCGAAGAAGTTGACGGAATATCCTACGATTTCGTCGTATATTCTACATATTCAGAGAACTTTATATAGGCTTTGAGTATATGGAACTGAGTTTAAGTTCAAGAAACTTCTGGAAAACACAGGAATCTTCGTATAACTGATATTCACGAATTTGCGATGATATCTCTCGATATTATTCAAGACTTTTCAACTTAATCAAGTAATGTTCTGAAGATCTGCACTCCCCAAACGGCGTTCAAGTTTTCTGATTTAACACTTATTTTGGAGGGATAAATTTAAAAGCAAACGTACAATGTGATAGAATGCATCTATGTTTACCCAAAAATATTGGAATAATATCGTGGAATTTTTATTTTATGGCTAAAATCTGAGTGGGACTGACTTGCGATTACATTTAACGTCAATGAGAAAAATAACCGCAAGTCAGTCACAATTCCATGACGATGCTGCATTAGTTTAGCACAGTATTGAACAGTAGAAAGATACTATGGTCCCATAGAACGTTATTGAATGTTTCTGGATTTGTTCCGCTGGTTCCAGAGCAATGGCCGGAACATATTCCGGTGAGTATGGGTCTTCATCAGACCAGAGCCAAACGTGCCAAACCCACCATGCGATAAATCAATTCACATGAGAATTCAAAAATAAGATCAATAAGAGTCATGATGAGTGACCAGCACCATGTTGGCCACACCCGGACATGTTCCGGGTATACCCGGGGAAGTGGTAAATCCTTTTTAATTAAAATCCATCAAGCGATACATCAAATCACATGATAATTCAAAGCCGGCGGTCAAACTGAGTATCGTAAGAACTATATTGGCCACATTCGGACATGTTCCAAATACCCTAGGGGAAGTGGACAAAAGCTGTCTTGAGACAAATCTCATGATGCGATGTATTGTCTAACATTTATAATATATTTTTTTCTAATGGGACTGACTTGCGGTTACTTTTCGCTGTGGGACAATTTGACTTGGTATTGTTTTTCATTTTTCTTGAACAAACCACATTTTTTCAATAGCACATCTCAAAAAACATAGAATGATAAACTGAATAATGATGCTAACTCAAAGTTGATAAATATGCAGATGGGACTGACTTGCGATTACCGGCACTGCAACTGTTCAAAAATTCAAACGACATCTCTTAGACATCCTTCCAATATGGAAATTTGATTAGAGAGTATTTAAAGGATATGCAGTTGGTCCGAGATTTAGAGGCCTCTGGATATTTTTCAAGACTTCAGGTTGATCAATTATTATTCCTAAGATATTCAACTGTTCATAAAATTCAAATATCACTCTAAATAGTCTCTCAAGATTGCTGGTTGATCAGATATTAGTGAATTCAGGTTGATCAGGAAATCTGAAGATCTAAAACTAGTCAAACATTCAATTGGCTCTCTCAAGATGGCATATCAGTTAGGAAGCAGATCTCTAGCGGATCGACGATCACAATAAAGTCCTCTGGATTTTTTTCAAGGCTTCAGGTTGATCAAGTATTATTGTGAAGATATTGAGTTGCGTTGCGTTGCGTTGCGTGTGTAACGGAGTAATTCGTAGATTGCATACTGGCAACTGTCATTTGTATCAACTTCAACGTTCTTATTCTGATTGCTTAAGGAAAACTATTTGGAAGTGAATAGTTCTCCTATCAAAATTCAGAACAGGAAAAGCATGACAATTACCATTGCCGGCCACGCCCATCTTCTCCGTTACGGGAAAAGGAAGGATATTGTTGATGTAGCATCTACTTAACGGGAGGCCAGCGCGACTCACCGACGCCCCCATAGATGCTACGGAGTTGGATAGTTTGGTAAGAGGTGGGTCAGGATTCGCTAAAGCAGGCGATGCGACCATACTAATTGTTTTGTTCTCGAGGAGCTTGGGAGTAATCCCACGATCTTCTACTCAGTAAGCAAAAGCGGCAGCCGCCAAGCTAATCCTGTTTAAAATAAAATCAAACAAACAAAAAGGAACCGTCTCACCCGAATCATCCAATTTACTCCCACCCAGGCATGGAAAATCATTTGCATTCATTTCATACATTCATTTACATTCATTTGCCTCGAACTTTTTTCATCAACAGCATTCCGCAAAATGATGTATAAAGCTTTTATAGGTTTTGTTATTAGCTACAACTTTTGCTCATAATTCAAATCTGTATCTCTTATGCATCACGAACTAGAGCGGGCAGAATTTGTTACTGTTTTTCAGTGAATGTAAAATGCATTCACTGAAAAACAGTAGTGGATTCTGTTCACTCTGGTTCGTCATGCATAAGAGATACGGATTTGACTTGTTAACAAAAGTTGTAGTTTATAACAAAACCTATGAAAGCTCTAAACCTCATTTTGCGGAATGCTGTTGAAGAAAAAAGTTAGAGGCAAATGAATGTAAATGAATGCACGAAATGAATGCAAATGATTTTCCATGCCTGGCCATGTGTGATAAAAACTCGCTGACACGTGATAGACCTTTACACTTATCCACAAGCGAAAACTTATATTTTTTGATCAAGTATTATTGTGAAGATATTCTCCCAAAACTGTTCGTTGATCAGGAAGTATTCAAAAGATCTCTAGCTAATCGAATATTTCAGTGAAGTCCTGTGAATATTCAATTGGATCAAGTTTTATTCTGAAATATCCAATTTTGGTTACATTGTTCATATTCAGCATATTCAAATGTCTGCATGAAAAAAATACCTTCACGAATTTTAAATGTCTTCAAAATGAAGATATGTCTTTAAATCTGGTGTATTGAAGGAATCTTCATTTTTTTAATATTTCTTCGAAGCAGATGAAACATACGAATATTAAAACAATCCTAAATATCCAAAAAGTTCACGCAGAAAAAAATCAAAAGTGAAAAACAACCACCCTAGGTTCCATCCGATCCCGTGACCGCTTACGCGCGATCATCGACTCCCCTTCGCCGCTGTGAACAAAACCATCTTTGCCTTCGTCGTCGTCATCGGGTTCCAGCCAGCGAAGTGATGCAAGTTTCGTCGTACCGCTTCTCCTCAACCAATCAATCCCGGAGCAGCCACACGAACCGATCTTACAAGCCACAAAAGTAGTTGGTTACTTTACTCACTCTCTTGTGCTTGCTCCACTCCGCACTACGCCACCCCCCAACACCATCATTGCAATACTTACCTCTACTGCAGGAAAGTCTCCGATCATTCACCGACGACGACGACGACGACGAAGAAAGAAAAGTGTTCCACTCTCGATCGCGCTCTCCCGGCCGCGAAGAAGACGTTGGTTTCTTCTCTAACCCGATCTCCTCCCTCTCGCTCGCGCTATTCCGGTGGCTCCTGCAGTGATCGAGAGCCTCTAGCATTCGTTCGTGGACCGCCGCTACGGTCAGATCTTGTGTGCAGTTGGTATCCACGATATCCGCGATCGCCGTGTACCGCGCGTCGTTTGAGCAACTCGACGAGAGAAAGGCCAGTGCCTCGCGAAGAAAGAAAGAAAAAAAGGAAGGAAGGAACAACAACAACAATAACGAAAGGAAAACGTGTGTCTGTGTCAGTGCGCAACGGGTTCGTCGCTATCGGTCGCTCGCAGTGCGTTGAAGTTCCCGTTTCTTTTTTTGATTATTTTTTTTTGGGGAAATTTCTTTTGCCTCCCGGCGGGGTCGATCGCGCACGGTTTTTGGGAGTGCTGGTGTGCGTGAGTGGGGCTCTCCGAACGCTTTCGAGTGTGACTTTTGCTTGTCCAGGTCTTTCAAGTCTTTTTTTATCGGGCAGAATTGCGTGTGTGTCTTTTCGGCTTCAGTGAATTTAGGCCCCTTTCTGGATGGGTTCTACGCCGCAATTAGCATAGATTTTTTTTCGGTTGTGCGTGAACTATTCGGTCATAATTTGAAACGAGTTGAAGGAAGAAAAAAAAAACAGAGCACATCGGACGACGGATCTTGGATTGAAGGAATAGGTGAAATCAATTTGAATTCAGCTGGCGTTTTGGTGGAATGGGCTGCGAGTGCGAGTTCTACTTTCGATGGCTTTTGTCTAAATTTGGGTGTTTTCTGTGTGGATTTGAAGCTTCATAGCGAGGAAAGTGTAATCTGAGTACCTTTGAAGATCGGAAGAAGAAAGTGTGTTTGATCGTGTTCTGGTTATTTAAAGCCTCACAATTGACGGGTTTGTCAACACAAAAGAAGAGAAAGGAAGACGAATTTTCTCCGGGGGAAAAAAAAGCATAAGCAAAATACACACACACAAAACAGCGAGTGAAACTAGTTACAAGGTGCAAGTGTCCGGATGGTAATTGAAAGATCTTGAAACCTATTGGTGTCAGGATTGGATACGCTCCACAGCATACCGAAACGCGCCCCGCAGCTGGAACAAATTCCATCGGAAGACAAATAACAACAACAACAAAGTGTCGGTTTTCCAATGAAAAATCTCTAACGGATCAGGCAGTGTGCAGTGCAGCTTTTGGTGTGGATAAAGTGAGGAGAGAAGCTTTGTTGACATAACCCATTTCCGTGCACAGAAGCCTGCTGCTGTTGCCTGCTGCAAGTGTTGCAAATGAGAGCTAAGTCAAGTGAAGTGAATGTGAGTAAGTGAGTGTGCAAAAGAGGGTGAACGATTGTTACAGAGAAGAAGAAAAAGAAGAAGAAAATAGTTGCACTAACCCCTAAGAGGATTAAGGTCTGAATCAACACTTGCCTTCTCGAAGAGCGACGGCAAAGGGGGAAAGTGGAGCGGAAAATCCTTTGCACCGTGGAACGAAACGAAACGACCCGTAGAGATTAGCAATATTAGCATTTTCTCCACGGGAAATTGTGTGAACACTGGGAGGAGTTTAAAGGATTGAAAGAAAACGAAAAAAAAAGTGCTGTTTGTGACTTACCTACGGAGCTGAGTACAATAGGCAACGACGATTTTTACCGAAAAAGTGGTGGTTTGGAAAGTTTGAAGGGTTCAAGTGTGTTCAAGTGTTTGACCAAAATAGCAGCAAGTGATTTACGTGAAAAGCGCTCGATTGGAGGTTCAAAGTTGTGATTCTGGAAGACGTCTACAAGTTCGATTGGAAATTGTCACCGAGGATACATTGTGTACGACGAGGTTTAATTGGATTAAAACTACTGCACTGTCGTAAGGAACACGCTTAACTATCAGGTATGATATTTATTAGCGTTTTTTAAAAGATCTAAGACCTTAAGAACTCACTACACTGTTAAGTATTTTTCAATAACTCCATGAGGTGCTTGTACTTTCAAACTGGCTTTGAGTTTGTGTATTTTTATATCAAGCTGTGATTTTTTGCTTTTCTCAATTTCCGTAGCATTTTTGAGTTCCTTTTAAAATTCTATTGAGTATTGAACTAAATGACAGACGACAGTTAGATCGTATTAAGATTCCTGGTGCATTGGGGTGCACACTGTTGAGAGTTAAGGTTAAAGCAATTCAATTTGTCTGTTCATTAGTAATGTTGTACATCCTTCACAATGATCGTTTTAGTTTTTAGTTTTCATAAGCCTTATTTTGGCCAAATATTTGGTACATACCTTCAGTGTATGAATATGCTTCGGAAAAAGTGGTTCGGAAATACCGGAAAAGCCAGGAATTGACCGAGAACTTTAAACTTTAAAATCGTGAGAACCGGTGGTTTGCCAAATCCGAACTGCCATGCCTTCCGCTTAACCCCTTCCATTAAATTTTGCACAGTGGTCTCATCGACTTTATTCGCCGCCGAACGCCAGTTAGATTAAAATTGCTGCTCGTTTTCCATGGATTTATTACTTTTTTTTAGATTCCGTTTGACCAAGGCCCAATACCGTTCGAAAGGGTGGAGTTCTGGTCTGCTGGGAGGGTTGTGGTCTTTGGGTACCAGAACCACGTTGTTCGCATTGTTCCACTCGATTGAACAGAGATATTTTTTCGGGAACTTCGATAGTTTGATGGTTTTGAAAATTTCATCCACCTTCCCTTTTCCTGATGTGGTATAAAACTCCTGTCCCGGAAGCTGCTTGAAATCCGCCTTCAAGTTTCGTCGTCCATGACGACACAGTTGAACTTTGTGAACAGATTCGTATACAGCTTTCGGGACCGCTGCTTTGCCGACGTGTTTTGTTTGTAATCTCGGTTCGCCACCTTCACCTTCTTAAACGTCGACAACAACGTCGTTTCTTGAGCCGCTGCACAGTAGTATGGGAGACATTGAGCTTGCTAGCGACATCCCGGATGGAGAGGTTAGGATTCCGTTTATATTTCACCGCAACCTTCTTCGTCGTCGCTGCCACGTCCGGATTATGATTGCCGCCGCTTCCAGGCTTCCTGGTGGTCGACAGACGCTCCCCAAAATACTTTTAAAACGTTTGTCACGGTCGATTTGGCCACATCCACAAATTTTGCCAACTTGGCGTGTGAGAACGTCGGATTCTCTTGCTGCGGGAAAAAAATTTTGACACGCTGCTCCTCTTGCTTGGACGTCATTTTGAGAACTGGAGAGCAAATGGTGAAAACTCATCATAGCAACCATTGTATATACACTCAACTTCCAAATGCAGCATTTCAGATTTTTCTTAATGCATTTTTAACAAAAATACACCAATTTGAAGTTGACCAATTTTTGCGCGTTCCAGACTTTATAGAATAATGCTGAGCAATGATTTTTAAAATATTGCCAATTTGCAGTTATACATGTTTCCGGAGGCATCGTGTTCGGAGTGTCTAATCTAAAATCATAGATTTTTTTTAAACCATTGTGCAGATTTTATAATGAATTCTAGAGATAACACCAAGGTATTTCAGAAAAAAAATTTACAGGGAGTTTTGGGTAGAACTCTAAGAGAGTTTTGACTAGAACTCCAAGTCAATTTTGTGAGTACAGATTGATTTTATTTAAGGTAGAGGTACCTTCCAAAGGAATTGAGCGAAGAGATTTAAGGAAATTCCAAGGATAAGGATTTCAAGGGAATCCCGATTAGAATATCTACACACTTAGAAAAAATCATGTAAATTTAGGTGCTCTGAGACTGACATACACGAGCGTCAATTTTGACATAACATTGAGTCATAATAGTCGCAAAATTCAGCTCAATCAATCGTACATTTCGTTTAATAATGAGCTTTTCACTACACTTAATAGTACATGACATGTTTGTTTACGTCTCATCCTTTATGTGAAAGATGGCTTCCGTCACGTGTAAGATTAAGTATTTCTAAGAGTGTAGATAATTTTATGGGGAATTCTTCTGAATTTGTTAAAGAATTAAGAGTAGAATTCCAATATAATTCTAAACAAAATTGAAATACTGTCCAAAGGTGAATAGCATGGGAATTCTAAGGAGCGAATAAAAAAAATGGAAGTTAGCGTCAGTGAGTTCTTATAAAAAGTTTAAAATTTGCTTGCAATCCAAGGATCAATTTCATGATTTTTTAGGTGTTCTCAGAGAATTTTTTGAATTTTATAAATACACTACCTGAATGTTCCCGGCCTGGCACGGGATTCAAAATCAGCTTGAGTGTATGCCGCCGATTAAAAAAAGCATACTATTGTACGTAGCTCCCTCCCTCTCTTATCTAAGGGGCTACCCCCTATGACCTCCCTTTTGCCAAATTAGGATCCATTTGCTTGAATAATTCTCGAGTTATGCAGAAATTTCCGTTTCATTGGCATGGGAGTGTCTACAGTGTCTTCTGTGTTGTTCAGGCTAGGAAGCAGACAGATCCTTTCTACTGGTCGTTTGAGGAGCCCTTCTTTCGTTTTTAACGTTACAACACTTACGACTCCGTCTTCACCCGGATGGGTCTCCGTGATTCGCCCCATTTTCCACCGTGTTGGGGGTAGGTTCTTGTCGCAAACTACCACCAATCTGCCAACCTCGATGTGCGTCCTTGAAGTTGGCACAAATACTCCTTGCGCCATCCGTTCCAAAATCCTTGGAACTTCTGCTGCATTTGTTGATAGTGGTTAAGCCGGTTTGTAGGTACATTCAACCAATCAGGTTCAGGTGGAGTGATGACCCTATCAAGAAATGATCTGGTGTCAATGGCTCACGACACGACGAATTGTTGTAACAGGGATGTCATCCGCATAAGCATACTTCAATGATTGGTATATCAGCAAATTCTCAAACTACACCAGCCTTATAAGACGTACAGCGGTATGGCAACGGCTGATAAGACGCTTGCAAAATCGATCGAAAGAGCATCCGATAGGTTTTCTCAGCATTTCGGAATTACGACAAGCTGAATTCACCATCGTTCGTTTAATTCAACGGGAAACCTTCGCCGACGAGCAAACTGCGTTATCTTAAGGGAGGATGGTCTCGAGAAAATCACCCATGGTTTAACCCATACCTTCAAGAAGATCAACTTCTACGTGTAAGAAGAAGGCTACGTCATTCTACCGAATCTGAAAGCACCAAACACCCGTTAGTCTTACCGGCTTATCACCGGTTAACCAGGATGATTATGGAGCATTACCATCACATCCTGTTACAAGCAGGACCACAGCTTCTATGAAGCACCATCAGACTGAAGTTTTGGCAATTAGGAGGAAGGAATGTAGCTCGACATTTTGTCTATCGTTGTTTGAAATGCTTCAGAGCAAATCCGCCGCCAATACAACAGTTCATGGGTGGCCTGCCATCGTCCAGAGTCACGAACAGGTCATCGAACAGACCACCGGTAAAGTTTTGAGCAAATTTTCAAAGACATAGACTCCGAACGCAGAAACTAATTCAAGATCCTGGAAACGTTCTGCTGTCTTAGCTATTATTCATTTCACCTTGTTATCTCTGCAGTTCAATTGCATTTGGTTTTATGGTAAATTTGAATCGATATTAGACTGATGCAAAATTTTAAATTTTCGCTCCACAGTGTTCAAACTGTTTCAAATTGGGTCCGGATTGGCCTCCGAAAGATTAAACTCATTTGATAAGAAACTGACTTAGCACAAACCATTTGAAATAACTATGGGGAAAACAAAACTTTTTGTTCTTGGTCTTCTAGCCGTTTTACATATTATACTGTTAACAAATTGGATTGCTATTCTTATGGGAATTTTTATCAGCTACAACTTTACAGAAAATCATTTTCAGCCAAACGTCAAATTAAATAGTTATTATTTGTTTAAGAGATTGATAATCTTATGGCACGATTAAGCAACTGTAGCCCCGTAACGTGGGTAGATCACCTTTTCGTGGTACGTTACGGGATGTAAGATCTACCACCGATTTCTAGTCCTGACTACTTCAAACTAGGGGAACAGGATTTTTCAGTAATCCAAGGAACACATCTTAGTCCTTGTTACTTTTTATGCCTTTTTGATAGTGACAAGACTCGGCTTTGGCCTAGGATCGCCAAAATTTTTCCTATACGCTGAATGGTCCAAAGTCACTGAAATGGTTGTAACAAACGCCAGAATGGACCTTTATACCTAATACCTTAATAATCAAAAATGGATTTATAAATGCCAAAATAACCTAGAACCGTCAAAACGGCTTACAACGCTTAAGTCGATAGTCCAAGGCACAGAAAGTATTAAATACAGTTAGAAACTACCCAAGTAACATTAAACGTTTTATGAAGTACTACAAGGCAAACAAAATTCATAAAACCCTTCTCTCTCTCATTATACAGGTATTCCACTAAGACGCCCACATTCATCAGGATTCATAAAACCCTGGTCAAGATAGCTTTGTCTTTATTACATCCACCATAACCTCATTAGGACTAGAATCTGTCTAAATGACCCACCCTGAAGAAGGTTCTAAAGACTGCATTATCGAGACATTTCAAGATTGACTTGCTGCAAAAAGGTTTATATGACGAATGCATTGAGAACCATTTGAAATCCTTATTAAAAGTACAAAGCAATTTAGCACCAATAGTTGTGCCATTTGCTTTTGACGCTTTCGAAGCGCACTAAAAATAAAGCATCAATCAAGATAAAAAGATGTTCATAAATATTGTCCGATCATGCCAACTTCATTCTTCAAAAATGAATCGGTAAAAAATCGTCATAAATTTCCTCATAATCAAAGTGATAGAATTTCTAAAATTATCGGTACGCATATTGTGGTTTAATTTTTAGGTGACATATTAAATCTAATGTGAAATGTGCTTCGGAAGATCGGAAAAATTGGTCTGCCTTCCGAAAACGTTGATAT